TTCTCCCCTGTGCCTGCTTGGGCCCTTTCTCATGACTCATCTTGTACACACTGGCACCACCTCTACTCCCTCCCAGTTGGCTGGCCACTCTGACTAATCAGTGCTTGTAGGTCCTATGCTGTGCTGGTTCTCAGAGGGTTTTAGTGGCGTTTGTTAGCATGTCTTGTAGCACTTCTATCCATGCCCCGATGCTCACCTAACGTGCTGTGTGCGCCATGAGGACTCCTCTCTCCTTCCAGCCCCAAGTGACTTGACATTAATAATACTCTTAAATCACAATGTTATGTTCACATTTTACCTTGATTTAAAGCTGTAAAGACTTATAACCTTTACTAGGTTGTAAATTTCTGGTGATCTATTGCCCTTTAACTTTGCATAATACTTTGTAATTATTTACTCTCTCATTTTATCTTGTGATTTAGCTATATGTAGATGTATCTTATCACTTTCACTGGGTGGTAAACTCCTGCGAGGCAGCAATCATAATCAATCATCTTTATATGCCTCAGATCTAGTATACTAATGAGCCTCTGAGAATTTATTGAATTAATGATTTTTCATCAATATCTTAGCAGAGATGTCACTAAGCTTTTGTTCAGTGAGGGATTTCTAAGATCTAATATCAGCTTTGGAAATATCTTGATGCTAAAGAAACTTTGGATAATTATATATCTTATTAGCATGTATAAACCAGAAATGTCTTATATCTAAAAAGGTTATGTATTTTTGTCTAAAATCTCTTATGGTATAGGTACCACTTATTTCCAGAATGTCCTATATTACATTGCATTGTAATTCCTGTGTAAATGAGTCCCTTATCCTGAAATGTAAGGTCCTTGCCTTTGAATTCATTGGTATTTTGAGAGCAGCCTATACCATGAGTATCAGTGCTAAATGTGAGAGTTTTTAGTTTGTTATTTTGTAGAACTTTGAGATTCTCAGATTCTTCTTAGTCTAAGAACTGGCTATGAATTTTGGTATTGTAGTGTGTAGAATATTTGATATGAGGGGAGGGTTGTTTTGAGCTTTGTTTTCTCAGAGGTATTGATGAATATGGAATCCCAAATGGGAAGTCCTACAGAAGATTATATAAACATTTTTTTAGATTAGCGCAAATGTTTAAGAGTTTAATTCAAATGTTTAGGAGTTTCGTTTCTGTTTAAACGATGAGCACACAACTAGAATTCCATGTATTCATGCAAATGACTGTTCAGTTAAATACTTATTAACAGTGGTGAGATGATGAGGAGGACCTGCTTAAACAGAAAAGCAAAGTATCTTCCTGATCTCTTCTTCCTCTGACTCCATTAATTTTCTCACAGTTAATGATTTCAGACTTTCAGCTTTATATATTCTTGCCACTTTCTCATCAGCAGATTGATAACACTTTTCAGTGATCAAGTGGGAATAGAGGATGACTGTTGTAACTCTAACTCTACAACTTCACCAGGCCCCAGCTAAACCAAGTTCAAAATATAATTTCAATAACTGAATAATGTGGGAGGCTAACTCTTAAAAATTAGTTTCCAAAACCTTTATCAATATAATTAACCAAGACATCTGGTAGCAGTGGTCCCCAACCTTTTTGGCACCAGGGACCATTTTCATGGAAGACACTTTTTCCACAGACCAGGGAGGGGAGGGAATGGTTTCAGGATGATTCAAGCACATCACATTTATTGCACGCTTTATTCCTATTATTGTTACATTGTAATATGTAATGAAATAGTTATACAGGTCACCATAGGTGGGGGACCCCATGCAAGGATCTGATATACCCTTGAAGGAATCGGTAACGTGTCTAAGAGTAGCAACACAGGAGAACTTTGAACAACTTTGTTTTCTCAGTCTATTTCATCACAGATAGTAGCAGCTTCCAGGTTTGGAATTGTTTAGTGAGAAGTTAGATCAGGGCTCAAAATTGGATTCTGCCGCTTTATTACTATGAAACTTTTGGCAAGTAATTTAACTTCCTTGATGTGTGGTTTCTTCATCCGTGACATTTCAGGAAGAGATCACTCTCTTTTGGAGTATTCAGAGAAATCTTGATAAAGAGACATAATACTTTGCCTGATTATAAAAGATTTGGGTAAGTCAAGAGGATGAGTGTGGGTCTTTGAAGCTATAGTGTGAATTACAGAATAGTTAAATGTGTACCTAATGTAGTTTTAGGAAATAGCTATAAATGTTCTTGTCATAGTTACTATTCTGCATACAATATTGTACTACTTTCTAGAAAGATTTAAGCACGTTCTATATAGTGGTTGGAATATAGGAATGTAGCGTTTAGCTTATGATTCCCTTTTGTTTTTAGTCCACCTTTTTCTGGTATAATTTCATAAATTTTAAGCAGTTATTTTTGAAGCAGTATACAGTTGTGTACCCACCACAAACAGCCAAGATTAAAACATCCCCATTATCCCGAAAAGTTCCTTCCTGCCCCTTTGCAGTCAGTCCCCTCCCCCTACACCCTGGCCCCTGCAGCCTTCTAGAATGTCATAGAAATGACATTTGTTGTCTTGTGTTTGTGACTTTTTTCTCTTATCAAATGCTT